AAAATATATATACAGTATGTAAATCATGATATAATAGAGATAACTCTAAATCGTCTTAATACTATAAATATATATAAATTATATTATATATTATATATAAAGTTTGTTCAGGAAAATCTTTATCAGCCATTTTTACATGTACATAGTTAACAGAGATTTTTCTAATAAGATTAGCCGTCTCGTAGTTTCAACAAGAAATCATGATAATGGATGACGAAGTTTAAGAAGGCATAATTATAAACAACAAATCCAGGATATTATTACAGTACGTAGGCCTGTGGAATTCAATACGTGAATTCGAATAAAAACTTAATGTTTCATAATATTCACTGCACTAGATAGTTCAAATTATTATTTTATGTCTTGAATATGCACAAGTGAAACAACTAAAACGATTTATGTGCTTTCTGCTGCAAAATAACAACTGGAATAGATCTATCGATTACGTTTGCAAGACCCGTGTACTTAATTGTTATGTATAAGTGTTTTACGATTACATTAGGCCTATGTGTTGATACTGTTTCTTTCCAACCGCTCAATAGAATAGTTTGATTTGACTTATGCAAACGAATAAATTAAGCATTTGAAATACAGAATAAATATGTGTTATGTTATGTTATGTTATTGAATATTTACACTATTATTACAATGTTATTAACTCTGGAAAGAACAATCGTGATAGTACCGTTAGTCTACATGTAGGGTTCCCGTGTTCCAAAATTAATTACTCAATACAGAAGCTAATCTAAGCGAATACAAGACTTATCTAGAGGTTTTCATACCCATAGAATTCAATAAAAGCATTTTCAAATCTATATGACGTCATTTTTGTACTTTTTTCTGATTGGACGATGTCAGTTTTCATTGTAATACCAAAACAAGTTAATATTGCAATGATTTTTGAAATGTTTAAGGAGGTTTGGTACAAAAGAACTTCTGTGGGAAACTTTTTGTATTTTCCATGACGTCATCAAAATACATTTTTCTGATTAGACGGGGCCGAAAGTGTTTTAGGCATAGGCCAACATTTAAATTTCTATTGTTAATCTTACAGTGAATATAAATGTTTTTTTCTTAATAAATCGAAATCAAAATTCATAATAATACCAGACAACCTAATTTTACATTTATTAAATGTAAAATCTGTTTGCATCTGAGATTCCATGGAATTTATCAGACATTAGGCCTACACCAATGTCATGATAATATATTCATTCCGTCCTCAATCATATTAGGCCTATATTGTAAAAGTATCGATAATGGTCGTTTTATGTTTTTTTGATAATTCTCAGTGAACGAGGAGGCTTTGAAGAGGAACTTTTGCGCCAGCAGGGGAGATAAACTACAATTCGTCAGAAAGAATTAAAATGTGTATTTTCTACATATTAGTAGATTCTAAAATCGATTCTTGAACGCCCATTGCAATGCTGCATAAAGAAGTTCAGTGCGTACATTTTATGTCAACATCTCTTGTACTTTACCCTTGTTTGAACTCTCTGAAAAGATCCTCCTATACTTCGATAGGACGTCCCGGTTTGGGTTGTTTTAAAGTCTCTTTTGGGTTTTCTGCTGGTGTGGAAAAAAATATCTCTGTTCTGTGTCAAAACATTAATAACTTCATCAGAAAATGGAATCCTGTTGTCAAGCCACCAGTTATTTTCTTTAGAAACCCGGAAAACACGTGTTTACGTTCTTATAACGTTCTTGGCGAATGTTGTGGTTAGGTATGTCACAAAATAACGTTTACACAACGTGGTAGGAACGTGCAAACGTGAAATTATGTTCAGTATGTATTTATGGTTCTACAAAACTGTAAAGTTATTGTCACGTTATCATAACGTATTAGGGCCTATTTGCTGGGAAGGTCGTACTCGCGTAGTAGCTCATCTCTCCTTAAGTTGAAACAGGAAGCTTTTCAAAACAATTGACGCCTAGATATAGGCCTGCTTGTAGATATCATCTTCATTATGATATATGATATTTGGATTATTAGACTGCTGAAAATTTAATAAAGTATTCTAAACAGCAACAAAATATGAGAAGATTTGCTACTGTTAAATCACGAGCAGTTTGTCAATTTTTGGAGTGCTTTTCCCACGCTTTGCATGAACTGGTTAGATGCGCGTACTTTCCTCTGAATTGCGGTTTGCTCTAATTAAATTGTCTCAAATGTACGAAAACAAGACTGATCAAAGTGCGTCTAGCTCGCGAGGTTGCAAAAAGTAGCAGCTAAATTCGGTACCATCATAAAGCTAAGGCTATAGTGAAGATGGTGATGTAAAAATTAAAGCATGAATCCACTTGAATCTAAACTTTCTCTCCTACTTTTCTAAAAATAGATTTTTAAATATTTTTTCTGTCGTTTTATTATTGATGCAAACTTCAAATTTAAACCAAAACTTTATTTGTGTTCCCCAATTTATATACAAGAAACGTGTACATTTTGAAGTAATTCCGAATTTTCTGTAAGAAAAAAAAAAAAACGTGTTTTGATATAATGTAGTCAATTATAGCATTTGAAATATTTATAGAGAAATTCGTTTAAATGTTAAATATTTTTAGGATAGATTCCATAGGGTATACCCATCTTCAATCATGAGAAAAAAAGTGTAAAAGCCAGTCACCAAAATGGACTTCTGGCCTTGATTTCGCCTTGGCCCAGAGCCGTAGATAGAGAGAGTTTGGCCAACTCGGTTTCACGGGATTCTACTATACGCGCGTGTGATTGGGTGGATCGCAATCACATGACTTACACTTTTGGAGGTATTAAATCTATCTTTTGGTTAATGGTTAGTCTAAGCAGCAAGGTCTAGTTGTCGACTGTACATACTCTTTGATGTTAAATAAAAGTTACACGCCGCCGTCAGAAAAGTTTTATGTTTCTGTGCTAAAAATAACCTTGTTGCCTCTTAAAATATGCTGCCCTCAACGTTATAAATTGTCTTGTCCTTACAACGAATTGTCTTGTCCATACGGCGAGCAAAGATACTAGTATTTCTAGTATCTTAGTATTTCTAGTATCTTTGACGGCGAGTGAATGCCTCTTGTCCTTTACGAGTGTCTTGTCTGTACGGCGAGTGATTAGCCATGTTCTCACGATCACTCCTATCCGATGCAAAGTTAATGAGAAATCCAGTCAAGGTCGCATCAAATTTTATCGTATGTCTACACGAGAGTTATAGAGGATAGTTAGGCCTATAGCGATTATACACTGATATAAAAAAGTTTAAGATTAAAGTTATTTCTATTGATTTCACGATGATGTTTCAATAAAACGAAGACGAATAAACAGAAATTACATTAGGCGAGGGCCTACCTGGGCTAGGCCTGCATTGAATTGGGTAGGCACTGAGGCCATCCCAACTATCGACAAATAAAAGGCAAAATATGTTTATTAACATCCATTTTTTTTCATCTTCACTTGGTTGAGCATTCCGAAAAAGCAAAATAAAACCCTCTGAGTTATTTTTCTCACCTACCCTAAGCCTACCTATTAACATTTAGGAGATTTTCGGCAGTATTTATAACCCGAGCCTTTAAATGTAGTATGCGAGTACGAACGTTGTTCGTGGTTCTTCTTGCTAGTATGTGTAATTGCAGTGGCTAAAGATAAGGCTACCGTATTACCTGTAATTTCAAAATCATGTACGTACAGTATCTCACCGGCGTTCACCGTTTCTCGTTCAGCCGTTCTTATAATTTATATGAAGTTTACAACGAACGGTAATAATATAAATGTGTTCTGTAATGTATTATTTGGATTATTTTTGACAATTATGAAGTTAAAATCAACTCAAAAAGGTAATTTTAAAGATGCTTTGGTTGATATTATGAACAAACTAGGCTTAGTAGAATTGCCTCGAAAACGAGACCGTGGTCAAGCTACAGATGTTATTGCAATCAACATGTGGTAAGTCAATCAACAGAAAGTTCTGTCGGATGAGAGCCTTGCCAATCCGGTCATTTGTCGGTGTTAGCTTGCTGGGTGCATGAAGCGCTTGCTTTTTATCAGGTGACCCCATTCATACGGTCGGTGTCAGCCTCATAACAAGCGCTTGTTCGATAACTACGATATCACCGGTGTAACTTAAACCGTTGGAACACGGCTTGTCCTTACGGCAATTTGTATTGCCCTTACGGCAGTTTGTATAGTCCTTACGGCAATTTTTATTGTCCTTACTGCGTGGGAGTAGGATTCTTCGTACGCCAATGTTTGTCTATTTTGGCCCTGATGGCCGCCCATATTATATGACGTCACACAATTATAGAAAGTCACAAGATGTTGATGTAAAGAGAAAACTATTATTTCCTTTATTTAGTTAAATTCAGATCAAGAAAAATCACCAAAAAGAAACCCAAGTAATAATAAATGTTAACAATATTTGTTTTGCAATACACATCCGATAGTCAGTTAAGTGCATAATAGCGGTAACGAAGTTCCATGTTGAACCACATAATCATTCCCTATATGCGAGCACCTAAAAGACAAAATATAATTTAATATCAACATAAAAGTGCAGTATAATTAATCATTCATATTTTTATGGTAACTATTAATACTGCTATTATTCAATAGAAGTTATATATAAAGTATAAAATATTTATACATTTGTTTATATTATATAAACATATTATAATACTGTGTAACGGTTACAAATACTCAGATATGTACACTTTTAAGAACTAAAACGTTTAAGAATATTTCGACTACTTCGATCCTTTAGCCTTTGTCAACGCTTGATATAAAATACACTAAATAAACATCTAATACTGTACATATCAGCGTAGTTAAGTTTCATTTAAAAGAGAAGAAAGAGGAAAAGAAAGCCAAATAATTTATTGTAATTTGGTGATCCGCTTCACAAGCGGATCACCTCTTGTTATTGTCAGAGATCATCATCATCGTCATCATCATCATCTCTTTTTTATTCTCATTTTCTCCCCATTTCTTGTTATCTCAAAATTGCTACGAGTTACGCACACGGTTGCTTCATCGATCATTTTGGCTTCTCCTGGAATAGTCACGGTAAGGTTTTCAAGGTGACCAGTCATCATGCGTGACGTCAGCTACACGCAATTTTGCGTTTTTACATTATCGATCATAACAGCCTAACCAATTGAAATTTCGAAATCGTATTAAGTGAGCATTAATTTCGGGTTAATGTTGAATGTAATGTACCCTAATTTTACGTGTGCGCTTCATAACGCGCGCGTACGCATGCGTCAAAATTTCAAAGTTTTCGAAATCACTTTTTCACTAAGTTAGAGCACGTTTCAGGTCATTTTGGCTTTTTAGTGTGCGCGTACGCGTGCGTCAAAATTTATATATGCTTAAAATCGTGAATATTTTTAATCAGTTATAGCTCCTTATGATGAAATGTGACCCCCAATTTTTATTACACATTCTGAAAGCACATGAGTTGTAGGTATGATTGTATAGATCATTATGGCTGATCGGACATTGTGACGTCATCATATTGCCATTTGAATTCAAAAGTCCCTTACCAACAGGCGTTTGTCAATAAGAGTTGATACATGTATCTCATATCAGGAGTCAACAGTTTGTGACATTACCGTGCGCGTACACATGAGTAAATCTTTTAACATGCTCCTAATTCTTTTTTTAAAAAAAACTGAATTAGCGTATACTTTAGCCCATTTTCAGCATTTAAAGTTTAAATATATGTTTTATATGTATATGTACATGAACTACTATCTGCGATAAAACAGATATCACAGCTACGTACCGGTACCAGTACACCTGACACCTGCGTCTTCGCTGTGGGCACAGTTGTGCACTCCTATGCCATTGTTTGCGCAGCTATCAAGACTTGATTCTGAACCACTGCAGCCAACATTGTCCAGCAGAATATCGCCTGACCCTTGTCCAAACCCGGCATACGAGACAGCCTCTGTAGCTCTACCCAGGCCTAGAGCTCTGCATACAACATGAGCGTCGTTTATATCCCAGGCATCATCGCATACAGTACCTGATCGTCCATTAATGGTTACTTCAACTCGCCCTTCATTGCTGTTACCTCCACCGACAAGTCTTATATTTGGGTTAGGTTGCGAACCTGTTAAAATGATAACGATAATAATGATAATAAAATTAATAAAATGATGTTTCCTATGATAATTCTGTTTTTGATTTAATACATATATATTTTGGAATACAGTGGGAATGGTGGTTCTAGGTCTGCTTGGTCAGCGAGTGCAGCACAGTAGAATATAAAACTGTTTTAAGGCCAGGATCTTACTTGACTTGTCATCATTTATGTGATGGATGGTACTTGTTTAGGAAATACATAAATAAAAAACATGGTCAAGAATTTAGCCTCAAATGTTAAGTAATTTTTGTTGGTTACGCACCACTGACTTTGGGCTGTCACTTCGACATGTCTACCGATTCGTGGAAAAGGCGACATAACATAAATAAAACATCGAAACATTGAGAGGAGACAGTCTCCACGAGTATTAACTCACAGCCTCCTTATATCACTAAGGTAGAACATGTTGTTTGCCCTTCGCATAGTCATCATTATATATAATTTTTTAAGCTAATACGCATATTTATCATATTATAATTATCAGAATAGGATAAGGTCACAAAGGAACTAACAATATATACTGTATACATACAATATATGTTTTATATGTATATGTACATAAACTACTATTTGCGATAAAACAGATATCACAGCTACGTACCGGTACCAGTACACCTGACACCTGCGTCTTCGCTGTGGGCGCAGTTGTGCACTCCTATGCCATTGTTTGCGCAGCTAGCAAGACTTGATTCTGAACCACTGCAGCCAACATTGTCCAGGAGAATATCGCCTGACCCTTGTCCAAACCCGGCATACGAGACAGCCTCTGTAGCTCTACCCAGGCCTAGAGCTCTGCATACAACATGAGCGTCGTTTATATCCCAGGCATCATCACATACAGTACCTGATCGTCCACCAATGGTTACTTCAACTCGCCCTTCATTGCTGTTACCTCCACCGACAAGTCTTATATCTGAGTTAGGTTGCGAACCTGTTAAAAGGATAACGATAATAATGATAATAAAATTAATAAAATGATGTTTCCTATGATAATTCTGTTTTTGATTTAATACATATATATTTTGGAATGGAATGGTGGTTCTAGGTCTGCTTGGTCAGCGAGTGTGGCACAGTAGAAGAAACTGTGGTAAGGCCAGGATCTTACATTTACAATATGTGATAGATGGTACTTGTTTAGGTAATACCACATTACGAAATCACTGGGTGGTCAAGCTTAGAAAGCAACCAATTAGAAATAATTATATAAGAATTAGGGAGGTTCTATTCATCTGTAGTATAATAAACATAGTATTCTTAATTGTGTTTAATTTAGAATTTGTGCCTTCTCGGCAGTCAGTTACACTGTCTTCAAACTATACCAAATAAAGTCTGAGTTACACTAAAGATTTTGTGTGGGCACTTTTATTTGTTTTGGTAATAACATTAATAAAATGATAGTATCAATTATCAAATTGTCCATTTTAAAGAATAAGTCGAGTAGAAAAGATTTGTTCAATAATATAACAATTATTCTTCTTTCACTTAGGCCTACGTTATACAGGAAAGTCGGGACCGATTTTTTTAATACTCACCACTACCAGTACAAATGACGCTTGCATCCTCGTGATGACCGCAATTATGTCTTCGAAGTCCAATGTTAGGGCAACTAACAATATCGGACTCAGTTCCAAGACACCTGACATCATCAAGCATAATCGTTCCAGACCCTTGTCCAAAATGTGCCCTCTGCGGGGCTTCTCTTGCGTCTCCTAAACTTAGTTGTCTGCAGACAACTCTAGCGTCACTTATGTCCCAGTAGTCATCACAAACTGTACCCCACTCTCCGTCCGCGTATACTTCAACTCGCCCTTCGTTGTCACTTCCACCGACAAGTCTTACTGGTGGGTCGGGTGGCGTATCTGTTATAAAGATGATGATGATAGTATTATATAATAATTAGTCAAATTTTCAACCTATTATTTAATTAAATTTATATCCAATGGCTTAACGCATGGGCTCTAGGGGAGCGAAGCCCCAGGGCCTCAAGTCCAAAAGGGGCCCGGAGTGGTCCCTTCTACCTTCTACTAATATACAGCATTGTAACAAAGTCTTGACATTACGATCCAGTAGAAGACACCTAAGACTAGCATATAAAAACAATGCAAATCCTGGTTTTTAACTGACGATTGTCGTATTTGAACTCCCATGGCAATACTTCGTTTATAGGCCTAATAATTAGTGGTCTATATCAATTTCTGACGCAAAAGTAAATTAATACTACAATTCACAGAGTACTCAATTCAAAATATTATAGTAATAATAATAATAATAATAATACAGGCTAATATTCTTCTGTAATGTTTCCAAAACACCCCAAAAAGAAAGGTGGGTGGGGGTCCTCCCCGGGAAAATTTTGACTCTTAGATGAGCCTTCCCTTCTTCTGAAGTGTCTTTTAATGACTTTTCTTTAAAAATTGAAGGTTTTCTTATTACAGTAAATGTAAATAGGCCTTTTATGTGTGTACCGATATAGGTCTAAATACAGAATATAAAAATGGGTAGTTGCATACGTATTCTTTTTTCCAATGAGCTTTCCAGACTTCTGAGGTGTCTTTTAATGACTTTTAAGTTCTTCAAGGTTGAAGGTTTCCCCCTCTTGAAAACGGTCAGGTAAACTTTCCCATTCTTATTACAGTAAATAGGCCTATGTGTGTGTATATACATAACAAAAAAATTGAGTAGTTGCACATGTATTCTTTTTTCCATGAATCGATGAGCCCCAAAGAGAACGGGGAGTCGGGACAATTTTGATTCCTAGATGGCAGGAAATGAGCTTTCCCGACTTCTGAGGTGTCTTTTAATGATTATAAGTCATTAAAAGTTCAGGTTTTCCCCCTCTTGAAAACGATTCAATGAATCGATGAATCCCAAAGAGAAAGTGGGGTCCAGGTACTCTTGGGAAAATTTTGATTCCTAGCTGGCGGGAAATGAGCTTTCCTGATTTCTGAAGTGCATTTTAATGACTTTGAAGTTCTTCAAAATTTAAGGTTTACCCCTCTTGAAAATGGTCAGCTAATTGTTTCCCATTCTTATTACATAGCCTATTATCTGTCTACCGGTATATACTGTAAAAAAGTTGAGTAGTTTCATACATATTCTTTTTTTTCCATGAATCGATGAACACCAATGGGGTCAGGACCCCTTGACCCCCTCCAGATTCGCCAATGATTACTATAAATACAAGTTAGTTGGCCACCTCAACACGCGCCATGGCAGCAGCGTAATTAATCAATCGACCTTTCCAATGAGCCCCCTGATTATTGTTGCTAAACTTGTGCGTTTGTGGGACAACACGTGTGTCTAGATACCCGCGTATTTCTGAGACTATTCGGATTGGTCAGTTGTCAAGTTTGATTGACACACTGGAAAGGCCCATTGAGGCATCGGAATTAAGTTCTTCATATAAACATACATTATAAAGTTATATTTACATTGTGTTCCTATTCGAGCGCTTTTATTATTATCTAGTTGTTTGTATGTATAATATATATAGTACCGTAATAAGTACCGTATGATTCAAGATCATCAGGAGGAGTGCTCAAACCAAGTTTATATAGTTAAATGATTCACAAAAAATATAAACTTGTTTACTTCATACTTTTTTATTTGAAAATATATTGAAAGATAGGATAGGATTAAAGTAAGGATATGATTAGAATAAGGTTATTCTTGGCACGCGATGACAATTAAACCAAAATTCAGGTTGACGTCAACAAATTAGTTGGCCCAAGTTGGCCTATTAAATGCCTTAGTTGTGAGGGACCTCAGCACGAGCCATTGGATTGGATTGGATAATAATACAGTGCTCAAATACACAGGAACATGATGTCATAAATCGTATCGAACATAGCTCATTAACAAAAGTTCCTTATTAGTTATATGGGAAAGGGATCTCTGGTGGTACAGAAACTGAACCTGCAATCTCTCACGGCGAGCATCATACTGTTTAGACCACAGAGGGCCGTACGGATCTAAGACAACTTGAGGGCTCACACATTGTGGAGCGAACTTTATTCTAAGCTCCGTAACAGCTTAGGTACAGTAGCAGCTGGTAAAATCATAGGAAATAATACTAAATCAAGTGTTTGCTGCTTTGGCGAGTGTCGTCGTTTAACCACATACCCACATGCCCATACGGCACTATTACGGATTTAAGACCACTTTCTCTCCCTTCATACAACTTATATTGAGCATATGTATCCCTTATACACCAGAAAAAAAAATAAACGCCTCACTCGAATAAACTCTCCCTGAAAAACTTCCCAACGCGTTTATTCGAATAAGTACAGTATTATAATAAATATAATACCGTACTTATTCGAATAGATACGATATTATATTTACTGTATATACACAATATATAATGTTATTACACTGGGATTTACAGTAGCAGTGTTTAAAGTCATGCATAAACTAATACCGCGATAAAATAGATATCACAGCAACGTACCGGTACCAATACAGATGACACCTGCGTCTTCACTGTGAGCACAGTTGTGCACTCCTATTCCAATGTTTGAGCAATCAATAAGTCTTGATTCTGTACCGCCGCAGCCAACATTGTCCAGGAGAATTTCGCCTGACCCTTGTCCAAACCTGGCTTGCGAGACAGCCTCTCTTGCTCTGCCTAGGCCTAGTTCTCTGCATACTACATGAGCGTCATTGATATCCCAAGCATCATCGCATACCGTACCAGATTGTCCATTAATTGTTATTTCAACACGACCTTCGAGTTCTGAGCCTCCTCCAACAAGTCGAATATCTGTATTACCTGGTCAATGATCATTAATAAATCAATAAATCAATCAACAAGCCAGTCAATCAATCAATCAATCACTCAGTCAAACAAATAATCAATCTATTAATTACGCAATTTACTAAGTTACAAACAATTGCTTTTCCACTAGACACAACAAACAGTGGGTTAATATTTTTAATATCCACAAAAAGACGGGTGTGTTACACTATGTCTGCAGACTTCTGAAGTTCTACGGAACATCTGCAGTTGCTACTGAAATTTTGCCAACAAATGTAATACGTATTACGGAAATAGACAATACTACGGAAATGTATCATTTTTCCTAGGTCCAGAAATATTATATGTTTACACATTGTATAACGTCCAGGAGCCTGGGTTTTCTATCAGGACATTTGGTTACATCATCCTTAAGGTCCCTAGACCACTCACACTTGTTACATTACTAATAAATTATTGTAAAACCCAAGAAAAGTGACCTGTTAATTTGGATCCTGTCCAGTTTGTTTGAAAATCCACAGCTGTAATTATACTGTACCTGCAATTTTTAGCAAACCAATATTTCGCACTCAAGGCACGTTACACTTTTTTTTATAAGAACACATTTTATAAGAATATTGAGGCTGAAATTGCCTAAGAATTAAGAACAAAATAAGAACAAATTGAGGCTGAGGTAAAATGTCGAATGAGGTTTTTATAAAAAATAAATAAAATAAAATAAAACCAACATATCTTATCCGTACCGTATTTTCATTAGGTGTGACTATGTAATACCCTTTTTTAATACCCTTTCTAATACAATACAGTAATATACGGTTGTACAATAACAATTGTTCACGTTTGTAAAGTGTGTATAAACTAAGAATAAAATAAAAACATTTTGAATCTGAAATTGGCAAAAAAAATAAGACAACTGAGCCTGGGCAAAATTTTACTGGTTCTTATTTTAAAAAAGTGTATTAGGTGTATGGAAATTGTTCCGTTACTACTGAAATTTGAAGGCAAAGTTACTTACAACGCATTTTACTAACTTGAGAAGTCTGTTTCTGAGTCTGACACGTTCTTTGGATTAATTGCAGTGTGTCAGAGGTGACATATGTACCTCGGTTAAAGTTGTGTGAAAAGGTTTCTACACAATATCTTAAAATTCGTTGTACTTACAAGAACAGATGACACTTGCATCTTCATGATGTCCACAATTATGACGTTCAGTGTGAGAACAATCAAATATACTTGACTCGGTTCCACCACACCTGACATCATCTAAAATGATATCGCCACTACCTACGCCGAACCTAGCTTGCATTGGGGCTCCTAGTGCTCCTTCTGTGAATCCCAGGTACCTGCAGACGACGTTGGCGTCTTCCATGCTCCAGTAGTCATCACACACTGTTCCCCATCTTCCTTCCGACCAGACTTCAACACGGCCTTCGCATTCGCGTGAGATATATATATATATATATATATATATATATATATATATATATATATATATATATATATATATATTGACCATTAATAAATATAGGCCTATGTAGAATTGAATTAAAATATGTCGAGTAACTTTGCCTAATTACCGTATAAGCAAAGACGCTATTAAAATAATAATAATCGATATTGTACATCTTTACCCCATTAAATACATAATTATCATAATAAACAGGTCAAGCGGTGAATCACTTGTGAATGCTCAGTACGTGAATGCTGGGTTTTTATTTAATTATTTGTTTCTCTCACGTTTGAACTTGTACAAAGGGAAAAGGGAGTCACGTCCCTGTAGCCAAGGGATCCTTTGCACACATGCAAAAATAGAAACAAAAGAGAGCATAATCAAAAGATGAGAACAGTAATTTACAATTAATTAGACAGCAACTCAGAAATTAAATGGATTTTGAAAAGGATTCGAAATAATGCTGTCAAGCCGAATCTCGAGCTCGTTCCAAATTGCGGAAGCGGAATTGAAAAAAGAAAAAAAACGTATGTGCGTTGCATCTGGCAAACCTATGCAGAAGAAAGGAAAACCTACTATTAGCGTTAACTTACTATTACAAATAACACCTGCATCCTCCGAGTGGGCGCAGTTGTGTCTTCCAATTCCCAGATTGCCACAAGCCAATAAATCGGATTCTGTGCCAGAGCAGGCGACGTCGTCCAGTAAAATAGGAACGTCTCCTTCTCCAAATCGGGCACTTTGCGGAGCGTCCTGTGCACCGTGAGTGTACCCTAGCTGTCTACAAACTACGTTAGCATCATTGATATCCCAACTGTCATCACATACTGTGCCCCAATAATGGTTGACGTAAATCTCAACTCTTCCTTCACTGTCACTGCTTCCACCAACAAGTCTAATGTGCGGTTGATCGGCCGCAGGACCAGGTTCAGCGTCCCCAGCTACAAATAAAACAACACATTAATATGTCGTAAATGAAACATTTCATTTCTACGGCAGAATATTGCTGCCAAAGTAAAAAATATTTTTTGCCTTTATCTCGTATGTACGGAATGGAATGGAATGGATTTATGGAATGAATTTATTCGGTGTAAACACCAAGGATAGCCCACGAAAGTCTAGAAGAAGACTTATTTCCGGTGGGGTCCTTCTGGTACGAGATAATTAAAGCCGTACGCAGGCCTGGCCGTACGTACAAAGATAATGATAATTAGGTAGTTTCCGCCGCACGACGTTAACCTTAACTTTAAAGTTAGTACCCAACATGCAACGCGATAGCTCCGCCCAGAGCCATAGATAGAAAGAGTTGCGACATTTAGAATTTTTAGAAGCCATTCTGTGTCCAACGCGATGCGCGTTCTGTGTCCAACGCGATGTGCGTTCCTGTGTATTATAGTATTGTATACATGTTGTTCATGTTATTTAATTTATGTAAGAAAAACGATAGTAAAAAAACAAAATATCCTAGTATTTTTCCTTGAATTTTGCACAGAGAAATAATAAGTGATTTTCGAGACTATAATCAAATAAAAAAATGATATACAATAAAATTGATATATAATAAAAATCACTCTTATTATTTTTAGTAAAAAAAATATTCAAATAGTATATGTCGAGTGGGCCTCATCATTTTCGTTCGCAAATTAAGAGTATAGGCCTACACCGAATTATCACTGTCAGAAAATTATTGTTTAAAAAGTAAAGGGCAATCCTTTGTCTCCATAATTCATTGATCTTGTTACCGTATCCTGCCTGCTTTATCAAAATCAGTGTTGGCAGTCCAATATTAAATAGCCAGTATCATTACATTTAGACTTGGTCGGCTTTACCGATTTCAATGACCCGTAAATAGGGTATCTAGATTGTTGGTCTTTAAATTTGAATATGAGCGGGCCCTATACAAATCTTATGTTATTAATTTGATTATTATAATTTATAAATTTTAAAATAGTATAGGTCAGTTGGCCGCAATACATAAACTGATATTGTGTAGGCCTAAAGTAAAGAGCAAAACATAACTTTTTTGACAAAGGCAGGTCTTTTCAGTCATAAATAGACGATCCTTTAACAATCCAATTATAATTTCGATAATAATAATAATAATAATAATAATAATAATAATAATAATAATAATAATAATAATAATTCATTGGGAAACTACACTTTTGAAACAGTGGCACACTTCACATGATAAAGGTGCGTCCAAAAAAAAAAATATAATACTTCAAACAGAATACAATACACTAAAGAAAACAAAGTATAAATTGAGTAACCGTCACTCAAGCATTTGACAATCACCCCACCCCTATCCAATACCCACCCTCGTCATAGTATTATATACAATGATACCTCAATACTCATTTCAATCCCCTGAATGACGCTTATTCCATTAAAAGTAAATATAATATATTATACGAAGTAAACAAACTTAAAACTAAAAAGTATTAAAAAAACGACAAAGGAAAATGAATTAAACTTGAAAACAAATACATAAAAATTAAAAACAAATATGTTCAGAATACCGAACATCCCTGAGAGCATACATTTCCCTCATCAATAAAACTAAACCCCTTATTAGCAGAAACAATATTCTAAGTACCGTTATTCTCTCCCCAAAATATGCATTTGCCCCTTCCCCTTAAAAACCTAAGCAACATACATCAAAAATAGTAATGCAGGAAAGAAAAACAACTAAATGAAATTGAAGGCAGTGGTGAACTGAATAGCAGTACTATAAAGCAAAGTTGTAATTTGCATTTAAACATCAAGTGCGCGTCAACCCGCGCAAATATTCGAATTCTAAAGATATATTCACGCTTTTAATATTAAATAGTTATTAATTAAGTAATAACATCATAAACACAATCAAACACGTGAAAATACTGTATAATGTACACATATACTTTGTATGTGTTCATCGGGAAGATTTGGACACAAAAATGGACGGTGTATACCACGTGACTTTCGCAAACCAAGGAGCGGAATGTCGCAACTCTTTTTATATTGTTCTGGCTCCGCCCCTTTTTGTAAACATAACGAAATACGCATGCGCAAACCTGTAACTAACCTATGTTGAGCACGTAAAATCCTGCAATTTATGTACTCCGCAACACAAGATAATAAATTATGACATCATCCGTTAACGTTAAGTTTAACGTCGTGCGGCGAAGACTACCTACTCGTACGTACTTGACATCTATTACGTAAGATATAAATATCTAGTATGAAGCGCCGACTGCTCATTTCCAGACAGTATAGGCTTAGGTATATGCATTATTTATACTCGGATATAATGATAGCACTTTTATACTTTAAAAAGACGACTACTCATGGGGCACGGGGAATATAAAATGTCGAGGGAGGGGGGCTTGCGTGTCTTTGCTCTTAAAACTTAGAGGGGTGCATAATCTCCCTACATAATTTAATGACCGAAGACTGGCCAAGGCTCTATTGTATTCGGTAGTGGTTCCCTTCCCTTACCCTCCACCAACCCCGGACAGGTCGCGGGCGTTACGCCAATGTTTGAAAGGTATCCAGTGGGGTAACGACGAGTCATGTGGCCCAGGGGCGCTGAAAATGTTGGGGGCCCATTGCACATCTGTAAAGTAGACAAAGTCAAGAATATCGTGTGACTATTTTACAATATTATTATCAACTAATATTTTACACACACATTTTAAATTTGAATATTTGCGTACAATGTATAAATTAGGTGTATGCATAAATTAGCTACTGCATGTGCAAATTTGTATAAACCAATCTTGTCCATTTTGACCCTAAACAATAGGGATTACTTTTTCTTTGTTTTTCGTGTATTTTCATCATATATGATTCTATTCCAGCATAACGTGCACTCTCATTTCTAAGTCGTTACTCTATTCATGCTACCACATCAAAGGTCAATATTATAAAAAGAAAATTTTGTTCATTAACATTGCACCGAGAAATAATATTGGGACAATACTGTATACAGCTACTGTTGTCAAATAATTTCTACTGATTTCAAATTATAAAATGAATTTATTTGCTTTGCAAATTATTACTATAATTTTTTGTTCTATTCTGCAGTAACTCATTCTTATGTTATTGTAAATAAAATAAAGAATGATGTCATGGGTGTGCATGAAAACAGGCAAAAAAAAAAAAAAAAAAAAAAAACCCTACAACTGATTTCATATATTATTATAAAATGAATTGTATTATCATTGCAAATTATTACTATAAATGTATTAGATTCTGCAGTAACTCATTCTTATGTTAATGAAAATAAAATACAGAATGTATGTCATCGTTGTATGAAAACGTGCCAAAAACCCCTATTAAGGGACAATTTAATTTTTTTGGTTAGTGTCCTTTGAATATGGATCCCTTTTCAGGAGACACTCCTATTTTAGGGGACACTCATTTAGGTCCTGAAGATGTCCCCTTTATAAGAGTTCTACTATTGGTATTCTCGATTTCCTCACAAATCACAAGCAGTTTGTGAATGATGAGTGCTGGACACATGTTACTAACACTGGTGTACTCCAAGGCACAGTGTTGGCCCTGTTGTTCTTTACGTTAGTCTGTTAGTCTGTTAGTCTGTTAGTCTGGCTTTCAATCTTGTCACACTGATTGTCCAGTAATTGAGTTTGCTGGTGATATTGCATTATTAAGGAAAAGATGATTGTAGCCATTGATGTGTGAAATTGATTGTTGTATACAGTATTGTAATGACAATTATCATAAACTTAATATTACGAAACCTAAGAACTTATTGACTTTCGTAAAAATAACACTGATAATATTGATAATGTCGCTATAAATAACACATGCGTTGAAAGAGTATCGTATACATATAAATAACTCAGGATAGTGTTTGATGACAAATTTAAATGGGGAGATCACATTGATAACTCTTTTATGTATTGCCTTCGTAAAATGAAACAGTTTAAAGTACAAGTGAAATTAGCATTATGTTATATAAAGCAGTGACTTCTACTCTAATCCAAAAGTGGTAGGATTCACTTGCCCAACTCTCACACAAGTCGTCATCTTCACTCCTCTGTTGTCCCTATGGGCATTAAACTATTTAATATCAACTATAGTAGATAGGACACACACACANNNCGCTTCATACTAAATATTTATCTCTTGTACGTATAATTAAGTCATACGTACAAGATATTTATCTCATACGTACGACTTAATAATTTCGTACGTACGACTTAATTGTCTCGTACGTACGAGGTAATGACTTAAAAATATTTTTACGTTGGCAACAATACGCTTCGTTAAATTTCAGTCGTTAAACTTATTTAATCTTTTTATGAAGTAGACCTTTCCGGTGTGGCAATCATACTTAACTGACCAATCAGAACAGCGCTAGGAATACGTGCGCGTCTCAAACACACGTGTTGTCCCACAAACACACGTATTCGTGTATGTTACAACGCGTGGGACCTTAGCAACAATATCCAAGGGGCGGGGCTTAGCAATTCAATTTTCCAATAGAGTATCCACCATTCAAACAGTTAACTACTGTAACTTACTATTACAGACAACACCAGCATCCTCACTGTGAGCGCAGTTGTGTCTACCAATCCCAATATTCGGGCAGTCGACCAGGTTTTCTTCTAAACCAGTGCATGCAACATCGTCTAGAAGGATAGGTACATCACCCTGTCCGAATTCAGCTCGCATAGGAGCACTGGAGGCTAATCCTTGATATCCCATTTGTCTGCAGGCCACAGCTGCATCAAGAATACCCCAGTAATCATCACATACAGTACCCCATCCGCCGTTGGCGAATACTTCGACTCTTCCTTCATTTTCGGAGGCACCTCCGACAAGTCTTATTCCTCGGAGCTCTTCCTGTGCGGCTCTTTCTGCCTCTGCCAATAAACGGGCTGCTTCGGCAGCGGCTATATCAAAATATTTTGAGTATATAAGTATACTTTAGTTTAGATAGTTTAATGTAGTGTAAGATGTTCTGGGCATCCTTACTAACTTGCCTCTTTGGTACTCGGCACTTTTGGGGTTTTTTTTTTTTATTGTTCACGAAAAATAAAGATTTGAGAACAACACATTTGGTGCACTGTTTATTTGTTTAAATATTTTTTAGAGAGAACATGACATTTCAAGCATTAGCTATTTAGCAGATAACAGTACATTTATATTAAATATACACCTGTATGTCATTTCTCAATATAGTATGTAATAATACCTTATCGACGTTCGCATTGGTGGTGTAATAATGATGAAATTAAATTGAACAAAATAAATAAAAGTTGTCCTTACCTGCTTCTCTAGCCGTTATTGTTGCAGCATCAGCTATAAACAAAGATTACAATAGGCCTATATTATTTGTACAGTGTAGGTAATTTAAACGTTGATCTCTAGACTCTATTAGTTTCAATATAAATGGTAATTGTTATTGTCATGATGAAACAGACAACTGGATTTACATCAGGAGAATAAGTATAGGTGTTTTTTGCCCAACCTGACGTAAATGTACCGAATAGGCTACTCCCGCTGTTTACTTGAGCTCGAATTAACCACTGGCCATCGGCTACAAACTCGGTGGTCTAGAGGTATAGTGCCAGGCTGGAGATCATGGTGTGTTTTTTTTTCGTATGTGTTTTTACACGTACTGGTAATCAGTACACGTACTGTATTCAGTACTTTTTCACGTCAGGTTGGGCAAAAATTACACCTGTACTATAAGTTTCAATATTCTAAATCTTAGGGGAGGGTGTCACTACAATCGGGTATGTTTTTTAAATTATGTTTTTGAAGTTTTCTCAATATATTTATCCCCAAATGCTTCTTCAAAATGCGAGAAACAACTAACTTAAAGCCGATATATTGTAATTTAATTTTAGCATAGTTTGAGACAGAAGTCAGTAGAGGGCGCACTATAGTTATGAATACTGAATGCAGTTCCATCACCGGGATGTGAGCCTCTCACTTGCAGGTTATGACCCCGTCAAAAAGAGGTTTTATATAATGCATACATGATCAAAAAAACAAAAGTAATAGTTTACATTCATACATACTATCTTTATTAATTAAAACCTCATTTTTTAAAATTTTTTTTGTATTTCGAAAATGAAAATAGGCCTACGTTACATTTGACTGGTTCATTTCGTTGAGTACGAATTTTCGTTGAGTATTATTTTCATTCGACTGGTTCGTAAAATAGACTTCGTTGACAATGAAAATTAACGTAACCAGAATGCGTTAATCAGCGTTATGCACGTGACCAAAAAAAATATGACCCATTGGTCAGTTTAGCAACAACATTTGCGTTCATAAAATTTAGTTAATAATTTGCGTTAATAATAATTTGCGTTAATAAAATAAAAAATTTGCGTTAATAAAATAAAATTTACCCACATTGAAGTAAAAAAATAATTGTAGGCTAACGGAATTAAAAAACTGGATGAAAACTTTTTTTTTACGAAAAACCCATACTGCCACAATCCGAAACAGCCTTGATTACGCTGCGTGTATTGCGGTAACTATGCAGCCATTTTGTTTTGTCGAGTATTACCAGTTTTCTATTCGACTGGTCGTTGAAGTAGGATTTTACGTAGGTGGGCGTGGTTTAACGAAGAACGACCAGTCGAATACGGCCATTTTCTAGGCATAAACGATACATACATGAATGAGTGTATTCTATCCACATAGTAGTAGTAGTAGGGAGCTTTCGATTTGTGCGGTGACGCTAGAGCGGAATCACTCATGCGTGACCGTCCTACCTGGATACGTAGATTTGGCTAAATATTGCGTTCCAGAATCTACCCGACGTGGTGACCCTAACGTTCTCGCATGCGCAGATGACTTTTAGTGACGTCATTATGTTCTACGCCCTACCGTCGTCGTGCAATCGAAAGCTTCCTAAACGCAATACATAACTTACGTAATCCAAAGACTTCCACTTCACACAGGGTCAAATAGTTGCTGACTGTAACAGAGACATATCGGCCGTTGAGGCTGCACTGTCGACTAATACGTTTGCCGCCACGGACATCAAGGGCAGAAACAGGCTGACCGCATTGTTCGCCAGATTGATTGTCTTCTTCAAGGCTTACACGAACGATAGCATCTAACAGACGATCTTGACAGCAGTCTGGTCGTGAAAATATAAACAGGTAAAATAATAATTATATTAATATAATGTATTATAATATATAATTATATCTGTGTATATACATTCAGCATTTTCATTTGTATCATCATTATCCATAACTTTATCATTACAATTATTATCACATTCGTTATTTGTATAGTTATCATCATACTTAAATCTGTTAAATAGGCCTAAATGATCATCACTATAGAATTCAGATTCAGTTTCAAGTTTGTCATTTTGTCATGAAAATTAATTTTGGTACAAAAACATCAACATTGTCCGTTATCAATGTACCACTCATTAAGTTAGGTCTATACCAGTTCCCCATGGATTTTTTTTTTTACCAGTTCCCCATGGATTTTCTTTTTTTTTTTTTTTGGATCTTTGAATTTTTTTGTCATAAATTCTAGAAACAAAATGTATTGTCGGCCACTGTACAGAAGATTATATGTGTTTTTTTAATGTAGCAAGTAACTAACATACCCACTCTGTTGTAAATTCGTACGTAATTGATGTCAAAGGTCTCTTGGAGGTCAACCATCCACCAACTATTAGGCTCATTCTCTGTTAAAAAGAAAAAAAATATATAATTTGAAAGAAATACTCTCATAATTATGGAACTACAAGGCATTTGAACATCGTTTGCCCTTTAAACTCTCAACAGAGACTATAATGACGTACGGAAAATATGTTCCATTCAGGGGCGCACCTACATATCCCATCGCAAGAAGATAGCGGCGCCAGAGTCTGAAATTTGGGGCGAGGAAATGAGGGGGGGGGGGGGGGGGGGGGGCAAGAAAATTTTCTGGGGGAAAGACTTAAAGAACATCAAGGTCATGGAAGACGAGGTGAATACCAAAATCATCAAATTCATTGGAAGGATTCTAAGGTAATCGCTCTAGTAGTACTAATTGGCACTCAGACGCAGAAGAGGAGCGCTCGAGCAATAAAGATATACAAGCACCATCAATCAATCAATCAATGGATTTATAAGGCGCATAACACAGTTCCACAAGATATTGGATTTGTCATGAGTGTTATTATGGATATCATTATTTTAAAACCACAGATGTTCACTTAGATAATTCCGGTGGAACAACAAAAGTTACGGTTATCATTCTCCTGATACGGTCAGTACAGAGCAATCTCACCGAAACGTCAAGACGCAACGACTAAATAGTACGGTAGTTTTACTTCAGAAACCACATTTTTACACATAGAGTACCAAAAGCCTTATGATTTGTTATTGAGGCTTTCCATCCAACTTTCAAGAAATATTATGTTTGTACACTTACAAAACTGTGTCACATCACAAGCAGTATATTAGTCGTTATACAGTATGCCTATCGTTTTATCACAAAGTGATCACATTCAAAATCTATATCTAGTTTATAGAACAGAATGGGCTTTGCATGATGCCATAACTCAGCCTAATATAGACTGGATAATCTAAATTAGTTCGAGTTTATCGAGTACGCCCCCGAATACACAGAAGTTGATCAATTTGTATTTTTTTATCCCACTCTCAGAGGCGTACAATGCTAAAACGCTGAAACGTATAGGCCTATATAGAAACGACATTCATTTCAGTTATACATACGTGTATGTGTGCAGCTGTTTCGTGAATATTTCCCGGTTAGCATATTATCGATGGCTCTTTGAGCCGCGCCACCCCATCCAATGGAGCTCTGAGTAGCTACCCCGTTGTTCGAGATCAGCACTGTGAAAAAAAAATTAATTGGTAATACAAATATTACTTCAGAACATATAAATTTGAATGTCGAAATTTCGTAACCAGACCCTCCTGAAACCCAGACCCCCCTCCCGGAAACCCATCTCCCTGTACCTTTACCGAGGACACCTCGCAATCCGGACATTCTGATATTGTTATCAAATTGGGTCTATTGTGGTTTCCGTCGGAACTTTACTCACATGTATCGAAAACCTCAACTTCACACAAAGTCAGGTAGTTGTTTACGTTAACGCTAACGTAACGTCCCTGGACGCCTTCATTGCATATTCGGAAAGGGTACCGTACATCGGTAATGTCCTCCATCGTAAATGCTGGACCACATTCTGCGTTGGACATGACGTCTTCATTGTCACCGACACGAACTTGGGCATTATTTAATCGATCACTGCAACAGTCTGAAACGAAAGGATCAGGATTAACTGTAGTTCAGCCTCCCACGTCCTATTCCATCAAGCTCACGATTTAAAATCAAGAACTTGTACTGGTTCATTCCAAAAATGTAAGAGATTGTCTCCCGATGTACTACGAATTCACCACCAGAAAGACCCCACTCAAAATAAGCCTTTGAACTTAGAAGGTTTTCATTTTTCAATTAATTTTTGAGGTCTTTTTAATATTTAATTTTGCCTAAAGACGTTTTTTTTTTTTTTAATCTAATTCATGTCCCCCGCATCTATCGTGTTTAAATATGCATTTACGGCCATCTAGAGGAGCCATATTCCTAATAATTTCTAACCATAGCCACAAACTTGGTGTGTCTTGGGTAGTGTGGACTTTTGTATGTTAAGTGTTTAGCATTTGTTTTTCATAACATTGGCAAGTCTAGGGTGGGGCGTGGGCAGTCCTAATTTACACTAGCTACATGACCAGAACCAATGAACGACTTCTTAAATATAATGTGTTGCATAGCATGGAGTATTAATGCACAGTGTACTGTATGCGATAATAATTATAATGATAATGCACATGTTACATTGTACATTGCTTCTATGAGCTTTACAGGAAAATGATATGGTACCAGTAAGTAATAAGGCTAAATTACTTTTATTTCTTAAATTAATTGATATTAAAACTGCAATGTTATATTAAATAAATAAATAACAAAATGATAATTGTTAATACTACTTTAATGCACTTTTGCATTTGACCTTTTCTGTAGTTTTCTCAGCTCTGCTCACATGTTATAAACATTCTAAATACAGTACTATAAATAAAAATGAACGTTAAACATTGTAACGCACAAAAGCCTACCTCCTCTGTTCTTCAGTCGGACGTAGCGGACAGTTAACGATTGTCCGAGATCAACTCTCCACCAGCTTGGGTTGTCATTTTCTAAAATTAAAGATAAACTCATGAAAGTTATGATTTAACCCCAAGTTACTTAAAGTTAATTGTTGGTCAAATTTATATTGTGTCTCCAGCTGATGTGACACAAAGTGCATGCTAAAATAGCACATCATTATTAAGCATAGGCCCTATGTCTGTATTTTTATTATTTCTAACGTGCTTATTTTTACTATCGTTGTGCCTAATCTAATTTTTTTAAATAAAATCCTGGTTGACATAATTATTTCTAAATTGATGTCCATATTAAGTGGTTACTGTAAATTATATTGATGTACACCAATGAATAAATCCCCATCGTATTAAATATTGTCTTTCTTGTTTATCATTTAATATTTATTTTATTTTATTTTATTTTATTTATTTTTTTTTTTAGCTCTCCTAAAACTATAGGTAACAGTCTCGCGATCAAAACGTATTTGTAGAACATTGTAGCACAAATACGTATTTATAACGTAATTTCCAAATAAATAACGTACAGACCTGTCAAGTCAAGGGTCTCACACTGGCTTGCTTGAGATTTCTTCTGGATTTGCTTGTGCGTGAGACTTGACAGGTCTGAACGTTGCTTCTTCTTGCATGTTCTTACGTATGAATTGATATCTAGCTGCTGTTATTTATTGACTTAAACAGCCGTAGCAGGGTCACCAACGAGCAGGTTAATAGCAAGACCCTCCCATTTATAGCCTACTCTTGGGTGAAGAGAGGCAAACGTAAGTAAAGTGTCTAGCCCAAGGACACAAGCAATGCAACGAGCGTCGGTCTCGAACTCACTAGAGTTCCTACGATTGCATTGCGCCGCCACACGCTCGCTCCTAACGTATAACGTTGTATTGTGCAACGTCGTATTATTTATTTTCTAACAACTTTCACAACATTCGAAAATGCTACAATTACAATACAGGTATGTTTGCTTGATTTTAACGTAGGTAGTTTTACAGATTATCACAGAAGAGGCAGGCAGGTTTAACGGTGAAAATGTACAATATAACTTACGTGTGTGTGTACATGTTCTTTCACTATATCGTGCACGATAATCGCCATCTACCGCCCTTGCTGGCAGTCCTTGCCATCCTAGAGAACTCTGGGCTGCTGGCTTTCCACTCGAAAGCAAGCCTAGAATAATATCCAAAGATATAGAAAAACAATTGTATCTATTAATATTATGCATTGATATTAAAATTAGAATTCTAATAAAGATATATAATATAGGTCTAACATTAAGACAATCCACAAAAAAAGAACTCTTATACACATCTAGATGTGTATAAGAGACAGGTAGTAGAGTGGTTCCCAACCTTTTTTTCGTTCGCGGACACCTCTGGACAGTAAAAAGGCTTCAAGAACCCCATGTCTAAATATACTCTTTGTCCATATCCCCCCAATTGTTTTTTAAATGTATATGGCACTTCTAGGTGGCCGGAAATTGTACTGTCAGACTCAAATTTTTTCAGGTAATTTTCTTTTATTCCGGATTTAATTTTTAATTTCGGTAAATTTTAGGGCGACTCATGCTTGATACTTCTACCAATAGGCCTAAGATTATGGATAGAAGGTGATTCCAAATTACGACATCTGGGATTTTAAAAATCGCCATAGACAAGAAGAAGAAGTGCAGACAGTGAATATAGGGAATTACGCTACCTCAGCCCCACCATGGTTGAGTCTGAGGTACGAAATTGTTATTTTTATGGCACTTCTAGATGGCCGGAAATGACACTGTCAGACTCAAAATTGGAATGTGATATTCTGTTATCCCCCATTTACTTTTAAGCTTGTCAAATTTAACCATGTAAAAACAATAAAAGAGAAAACATGGGAACGAATGTACATTACCTGAGGATCTCTATACTAAATCTTTACATGAAAAATACATAAAATACTAATTTAAAAGATTCTATCAGATCACCAATAAAATATTGGAATTAATATAATGCCAGTTAAAACAATTTACAGTGAACGAAGTCATGGGTATTTTATTATTGTCAATGCATAATCACACTGTTGTAAGACAAGAAAAATAATGGAATCATGAATCTGGCGGACCCCCACTTTTTTTTCGCAAGCTCCCAAATGTTTGGGGGACCCCCTGCGGACCCCTTTGATTTTACGGACCCCAGGTTGGGTCATCTCGATTTGTTTAGATAAAAGACAACAATTATTCATGACCACTAAAAGAAGTGAGGTTGCATCAAGGAGGTATATAAATAAGTTATATTTTACAGTTAATACTTTTATCTCCTTGGTTACATTTTTTCTCGATAAATTAAAAAAAAATTTCGATAAATTCTCACCCACATTGTGAATCTAATCGTTCAGGCCCAGAAGGAAGGAAGGGAAGTTCCCCGGTCGGGGGCGAGGCCTACGGAAACTCTGCCCTTTTAACGGATTAGCACACTAATTTAATCGATTAGAGTGCTTAATTTCACCAGGTAATGAAAAATAAAGTACGGTATGGAAACATGAAAAGTAAAAGCTATCCTTCCTTTTATTGAAATGTAGAGCTGAAAAGATTCATAACATATCAAAGTTACAGTGGCGGATCCAGGAATTTGAATAGAGGGGCCCACAGAAATATTGTCACAGATGGAGGGTTTATCTACCTCAGCCCCACCATGATCGGGCTGAGGTAAGAAAATTTATGATTATGGCACGTCTGGACTGCCAGAAATGTCACTCTTGGACTTAAAATTTAAGTAGAATTTTCTTTTTTTCAAATTTTTTGTGAAATTTTGAAACATTTAAGTGGGGTGGGGGAAGACTGGGCCCCCTTTAATCCGCCACTGATTTAATATATATTAATTCAGTATTTATTTGAAAATCGAATCTCTATTAGGTCTATTCATATTTTCTAACTTGATATGTATATTAATGATGTCAGGGTCCAAGCCTTTGGTAATTATTAATTATTGACGCAAAGAATATACTATTTGATACATTGTATACATAAACTCTAAAGTAGTAGAAGTCATAAAAATATTAATGAAAAAGAATTAGAAAACATTAATTACGAGCTTTCATCGATAAACGTGGGAAACACATGAATGATACCGTACTGGATAAATATATATGTTTTATAATTTTTATTTATTTTATTTTATTATTATTTATTTTATTTTTTTACCTAGCATCTTTACTTTCGGCTCCGGGCCCCGGGGCATTTTCCCCGTAAGCCCGGCCTCTAGGCACCACTGGCTGTCAGAGTTTTTGATATCGTAAAAGTTTCGAATCTCGAGGTTTACTGAGTAGCTTAGTTTTATATTGTCCGTAGGCTTTGGAATAAGCATAATAATAATATTATTTTCATTTTTTATATAACGAATATACTTAACTGGTGGTAAACAATACTTGTTTTTACAGTCAGGTTCTGAGTCCAAACCAAGTCAAAAACACATACGCACTTTATAATAAAATCAGCTCCCTATTGAAACTAAAGGTGTGTGACGATTGACATGTGTATAGTAAGCCCTCACTTACGTGTGTGTGTACAGCTACTATGGCCGTAGCTGGTGGCTCTGGATCCATCGACTGCTCTTCCTGGACTTCCACCCCATCCAAAGGAACTCTGCGTCGCAAGACGTCCTTGACCCAGCAACTCTGTAGACAAAGTGACAAATTTCGTTTACACCATTTGACATAGTATTGCAATTATAAAAAATAAAGCCACTAATTAAATAGATATATTGAATATTCGATTAAATTAAGCCTTTAAATGGAAAAATGTAAAAAAAATGTATTGTTTTAATGTATATATACCTCGAGAACTTACACAGTCATAACGAAATATTTTTGTACATGCGCAATGGTCAGCGTATATATTGGCAATCTAATTTTTATTTTATATTTATTTATTTATTTATTTTGTGTGCGAGAACCGGGGCGAGAATTCTTATTCAATTTTCTAGTGCCCTAAATATATTATTAAACTGTATGTAAAGCAATAAAGAATAATTTGATATTATCTTAGTTTTAGTTTATTTTTATTTATTCATAAAATGAAATTCACCTGCACTGTAAACCTCCACTTCACATAAAGTCAGGTAGTTGTCAACATGGATACTAATGTATCTGCCCTCTGTGTTGCAATGCCTATCAATGATTGGTCCATTTCCGATGTCTAGAGTAGCTATGGGGCTACCGCATTGGTCATTGTCTTCAATTGTTTCCGAGTTACCAACACGGATAACTGCTCCTTCGAGACGTTCACCATGAGCTGTAGGAGCCCGTTGAAAATTATATTATCTTTACAATTCCATTTATTTGAATATGTAAATAACCAGTAAGTGATTCATTGGTTGAGAGAATGACAGTTAAGGGAGTGGCTATGAATACGGTACCGTATATCTCGGTACAAAGATGAGCCTAGCCTTTTCAGTTCGGGCTGAATGTCCAAGAGAGGGCGCTATACAGGTATTACATTGCCAACCCTAGCCTTCTTTATCATCACCGAGATAGCGAACGGTACCTTTTGTTAACTGTTTGAACTACCATATAGATATACCTTATACCTTTTCTTATAATCAGAAAAACGGCTCTAAAATTAAATTAAGCCATTGAATTGCTCATTCTGGAATCATGTAACTTCAAATTAAAGCAATTATGTTTCAATGTTTTGCAGGCGTTAAAATAGTACCGGTAACAAATTAGAAAGTTATGGGAAAAGATTATATATACATAATCTAGAAATAGTAGGCCAGTCCGGTATGTTGTACACTTTTTTTTTATAAGATCCAGTAAAATTTTGAACAGACTCAGTGTTCTTATTTTTGCCGATTTCAGGTTCAAAATGTTTTTTTTTTTTTTCTTAATTTACACACTTTTCAAAAATAGAGTATTATTATTGTATAGCACTGTACTTGAAAGTATGTAAAAAGTGGCCGCCCAGCAAAAAATGACCCTTGAAAAACTTGGCCCCGCAAAAAATTGCCCCAGAAAAAAAGGCCCGGTAAAAATCCTCAAATGACAGGTCGGCACCCACATACAGATATAGTATTTTGGTTTTTCTAGTTTTTATAAATATAAATCCCATAAATTGACATTTTACCTCATCCTCAATTTGTGCTTTTTTTGTTCTTAATTTTTAAGCAATTTCAGCCTCAGTGTTCTTATAAAATTTGTTCTTATTAGGCATTTTTCGACGAACGAGGTTAGCCTTAACCTTATTACCCAGCATGCATATCGGTCGCTCCCCCCCCCACCCCCCTTAATCCCATATACCTCAGCCTCAATTTGTGCTTATTTTGTTCTTAATTTTTAAGCAATTTTAGCCTCAGTGTTCTTATAAAATGTGTTCTTATTAGGCATTTTTCGACGAACGAGGTTAGCGTTAACCTTATTACCCAGCATGCATATCGGTCGCTCCCCTCTTTATTAAAAAAAAATGTGAAAGTCGCTTGTGTGATTGTGTTTTTTTAATAACAGATAATAAGCCATTTCGTAGTCTAAACTGCGCAAGCCCGTATCCAATGTCAATGGACATAAAACCTATGTTGTGTGTACGCATGCGCCATATGTTGTGTGTACGCATGCGCCATATGTTGTGTGTACGCATGCGCCATATGTTGTGTGTACGCATGCGCCATATGTTTGTTTATGTCGGTTGACCTTGATACGGACATGCGCAGTTGAGACTACGAAATGGCTTATTGTAATGTGATAAATTCTGTACAACATGCTGTACAACTAGTTCCTAATTTAGAAGTAACAAACTAATTCTTCTTCCTCTTCTTCTTCAGTTAAGTTGCCGCCTTCAACATTTTGAAAATTCTGCAACTTGATTGGTACAGCATGACCATACAGTGTTTGGTTTGTTTCTTTCATTTTAGGTAATATATTTTATATTATATTTATATTCATATTAGGTAATATATTTCATATTATATTTATTTTCTTTTTTATTTATTTATTTATTTAAAATAGTCAAAACTTAAGCCTGCCTATAATTATAAGTCAGTTTCGCTGAAACGCTCTTTTTACAATTGAAACTTAGATTAAAGCTATACTCAAATTTTATTTGAGTATAGCTATACTCAAATTTTATTTGAGTATAGGGCCTATTTATCTAAGTGTAAATGAGTAAGACTGAATTAACGACAGTTAACAACACTTAACAATCTTACCAGCTCGGTTATAAATCCGAATCAAACGAACCACACTAGCTTCTCCAAGATCCAGTTTCCACCAACTGGTACCAGAATTTTCTAAAGATTTTAAAGACGAAAACATCAGAAGACAATGAAAAACAATGAAAATAAACACATACTATTTAAATTGTATAAAAGTATATTTGATTTGATTTGATTGTATTCATTTTATTAATCCGACTCGAAATATTATTAATCAATGACAATTTTTTCTCTCTCTTTTGTGGGGATTCCACTAAGATTTATTTCTTTTTCTTTTTGCTACTTTTTCAATTTTTTGTCATCAAAGACTTCAAAAATAATAAAAAAATTAAAAATTAAACCTCAATTGCACTTAATAGGGTCAGTCCACCATGGCTGACCAAAATTCTTTCGACACACCTTTTAACCAGTGAGCGTTCAAAATAATTTATAAATATTTTTTTCTTCTTTTTTCATTTTCAAAATGTAATTAGACTGGCATTAACATATTAACATTCGAATTTCAATAACTATCTCAAAACATTTTTATCAAATCAATGATATTTTTGATACTGATAAACTTACAGTGATGAATTTGATGATGATTTATAAAAAAAAATATGCAGCCAACTTACGTGTATGGGTGCAGGATTGAATTGAATAGACAGAATTGATGTTTCCGTCAATTGCTCTCTGTGGAACTCCGCCCCAGCCCTCAGAACTTTGGGTTGCAACAATGCCCTCACGGCGAGACACAATTGCTACGATGAATGAAAATAACAATTTTTTTTTTTCATTCCAAAGAAACATACAATACATCTACCTGTTAGTTTTTACTACTGTATCGTGTTGAAAGAAAAACAGTTAACAAGCAAAATAACGCTAATTCCCTGGGGGACCCCGGGAACATCCAGCTGGTAACATCGCTGGCGCACGTCTTCGAACACCAGCCGACGACGGGGAAAACAACTAGCATTCAGCTAGTTGCATTGCCTGACGAAGATCTGATAACATCGGTTGGAAACGTAGCAAAGTTTAATTTGGTTTATTTTAAACACATTTTCATATCAGTGAACAATAAAAATACTTACAATAATAAAAACAGTAGGCCTAGTAATTATGATAATACTGTATTAATAATAGTGATATTATTATTATTATTATTATTATCATTATCATTATTATCATCATCATCAATCCTGTTTTCAAAAACAGTTAACAAGAACGACATCAATAATACAATAATGATAACAATAATAACAAAAGCACTCAGTATGAGAGCATGTCTCTGCCCACTGCCAATCCCTTTCCATAAAAAATTCCTCAAAAATTATGATCCTACTTTTCAACAACCAACCACAATCTACTTATAAAAAATTACACTAACAGTTGTACACCTGCCAATTCCTGACATGTTCTGGTTTGACTTGCTGGCAAGTTTTACTCTTATACCTGATAAACAAAATACATGCAATGTATGTATTTATATATTTTTGGAAATAGAAATAGGCCTATGGGGATTTGGTTTTTAGCGTCACATGTTTAAATGTAAAGATGCATTAAAAATATTCTAAATATGTTCAGTAGAAAGTGATGTTAGTACATACAAAACGCTGAACACATTTACTGTAATTGCACTAATTTAAATATTCATCATATAGTTGTTGTTTCTACCTACGGTAATACGGTAAATTTATTCTTTAAATGGTCCTCATATTCATACCCTACTTCGCATTGTGACTAAAATTTACACACTTCTTTATTAAAACATGACAACCTATTCTACCAATTGTCATTTTTATCTATCAATCCATTTTCGAGATATTTAGGTATGGAACCATTTGGCCCTCAATTATAGACATGAACCGAATTCGTCACCAACACTTCATAATTTCTTCCTTGTACCTTGGTTAAGCTTTCACGAAAGTTTCATTCATATCAGTTGATTATTTTTTGAAATATCTGGTCTGGAACCTTTTCCTTTAAATGGTCACCTCATCCTTGGGTCATACCTAACATTCCCTGTATATTCAATTTAAGATCAACCTTAACAATTTAAATGACCCTCAAGTTCACCCCCGAATTTAGATCGTGACCAACACTTGATAATTTCTTCCTTGTAGCTAGTTTGGTTAAACATGAAAGTTTCATTCATATCAATTGATTAGTTTTTAGATATCTTGTCTAAGACGTTTGCGCTAAAATTCATTTAAATGGTCCTCAAATCCATACCCTACTCCGGACCGTCACCAACATTTAATCATTTATTTATTTATTGGGTTATACTTAACACTTCCTGTAATTTTCATGTCTGTGCAGCCTTTTTTGAGATATGTCGTACACGAAAACACCACACGAAAACACCAAAACATGACACACATAAACTTATACGACTGAAAAAAATATATCTTCTGGCAGAAATAATTATGATAATATTAATAATAATAATAATAATAATAATAATAATAATAATAATAATAATAATAATAATAATAATAATAATAATAATAATAATAATAATAATAATAATATTATTATTATTATTATTATTATTATTATTATTAACAACAATAACTGCCATAATAATATTTAACAATAACTAAAATAATTCGTATTATTGTCATTAGTATTATTACAAACGATTAAAAAAATAAAATTCCACTCAAAAGTACAATCAACTTACTTGGTTCATTGACTTCGACATTCTTTCAGAGTTATAAAAGCATTTTAGCTACTTCAGCTTTGAGCTGTGACGCTCATTTTGAAGCAACTAATTTCACTTTTGAAAGTATAAATCACTTTTAAAGTTAATTTTCGAAGAACAAACGGCTGGTTTGATACAGTAATGTGTTACAGTAATGTGTTAGTAAGTATGCCTACACCCATCCTTATTGACATTACTATTCTCCATATCCCACCCTTATACACACGGTGTGGCACCAGCAGGGGGCCGGGGACAGGCCCCGTCGGGGAGAGCTGTAACCCCGTCGGAGATAAAAACCACAAATCGTCGGGGAGAAAACAAAATTATATGTATTTTGTATATATTAGTAGGCTCTAAAATTGAAATAATAATCACCAAAATGGTCTTTGAAACCCCTAAATTGTCAAAATTAACGATATCTTCGCTCCCTGGACCACTTTCGAAAAATTTTAAGCAACGCTGGACCACGCCCACTTTGCGCTCGTCGGGAGCATCGCACCACCCCCCCCCCCCCCCCCCCCCCCCCCGTCGGGGAAATCCTGGTGAAACTCCTACTTCTACAAAACAACTAAAACGCCCATACTAACCCTCAACCTCGTTTTCGTCTACAACCGCTTCACGAGCTTCGGCTGCCACCACTGTGAAGGTGTAAATAAAATAAATCATCAATCAGCAGGCATGGTTCTCCCTAGTATTTCTTTATTAAATTTGACTTCTCAATAGTACTCAAAGCAGCATAAACATATTTTATCAACATCACTATCATCGTCGCCACTACCTCTACCACCAGCGACCTCATCAAAATCAGCATAATTGTCAAATAATCATCGTCGTTGTCGTCATCATCATTCCGTCATCATCATCATCAGTGTCATCGTCATCCTCATCATCATAATGAACAATATTATAGCACTCATGCGTCATGCGTGTGAGGGTTCTACGACTTGTTCCTCATATCTTATCATCATATTATAAATGGCAGGCTTACAGTTTATTTATAATGTTTTGTTGCGGTAATTATCAGATAAACATTCCAACGTGTTACAGCAAAAACTAATCACCAAAATGTTTCAGACCTAATATATAATTGTTGTCATTGTTAAGATAGTATAATACATACTCCAAGTAGCGAAATGCACGCCATCGTGTCGGGATTCAATATTTCGACATTATATTAATTATGTCATCATCAGGAATGAAAAATTATCCATATTTGCAAGCTTATATGCACAAGTACCAAAAGTGTTTGACCAATCAAAACGTTACTCCTAGTATTGTGACATGCTATGAAAAAACTAAAGATCAAAGCATTCAATACTCAGACTACTGATCAAAGCTAACTACAAAAACAAAGAAAGCGCCTTTGAAGCTTTCAGTTCATTGTTAAGCAATGGGTGTAGCCTACTTATAGCAAACGCTTCTTTAAACAATAGTAATGGCCGATTTTGCGAACTGCCAATAATGTTAGTATTAGAAAATATTAAACCTAATTTATTACTTACATTACAGGCTACATTATCATTTTCAATTATAACTTTTAAACCTAAAACATAGGCCTATTGGAATGCCTCACAATTGTGTATATGATCATTTTTAACACTATCAGATCGTTAAGAATGTTCTTTGGGTCTAGTTATTAAGGAAATAAATTTTACCTCTTTAACTAAGTGTTTCTTTACTTTGTTTAAGTATCTACGTAAAATGGATTCGCCTGCCTTTCCTAGATAATGCAATCTAATCTAATCCAGATCTTAATCAAGCTTTTATCAGTAGGCATACGTATACATTTAGGTTCATTTAATTTACTGAGTACATGGTTAACAACTTTTAAAGGGTACCCATTCCATGACATAAATTTTCTAATGTTACAAATTTCTGCTTGAAGTTTATCGGGAGTACACAGTTTGTGGGCTCTTGAAACTAAACTACAAATCCAAGAAACCTTATGGGTCCATGAGGAAAAGCTACCATAATGGATATATTGACCTGTATGTGTATTTTTATACATATATATATATATTATGCTTCCTACGCTGTTGTCAAATTGGACAATCCAGAAAATGTACTATATCACTGTTTTCAAATGATTCAAAGTTAAAATTAATCTGTTTATGAAAAGCGTTAGACGTAGAATGTGATGAAAATCATTAGGTTTAGCTTGCACTGTGTGTCGTCAACGAAACGAGTATAAAACTTAATAATACCTGAAATTTAGGAACAATAGACTCTTCTAGTTCAGTCATTAAACTATTAGCTAAAACTGGTCGAAGGGGTGAGCCCATCTTGTAGGTATAGTTTCGATCAGTAGGGTAAAAATGTTTGATCTTTGGTTTTCATAGCTATGTCACCTACTAGAGGTAATGTTTTGATTGGTCAACACTTTTGATATTTGTGCATATAAGCTTGCAAATATGGATAATTTTTCTTTCCTGATGATGATATAATTAATGTCGAAATTTTGAATCCCGACACGATGGCGTGCATTTCGATAATTGGAGTATGTATTATACTATCTTATCTGCGATTAATCAGTGGACCTTTCGGTTTTATCTTTGTTACATAAATGACTTATATAACACGCCTGATGTTTCTGTTATTTTCACCAAACAGGCTGAATATTACAATAGCATTGCAAGGGAAGAATAAATAACTCCATTAAATTTAAAAAAAAATAAACTCTTACTTTCTACTGTAACGCGATGGTCAATGCCGGATAAGTACACCCTTAGTTCGTGGAACCTTTCACACTCCGGTGTCATGGAATTCTGGCTCAAGACACACGGCAATACGCCGAGTACAAATAAAAGTGAAATCTTCATTTTGACTCTTAATGAAAAAAGAGAAATATGAAATAAATGTAATGAATTTTGAATGCATTAAAATATGTCCTTATACATACTACTGGTCGTAGCGGTGACCGGTATTGCTTTGTGCATTAGCTGCGTGTATTAGAATGATTTGTTGCTAGCTGACAGTTAGAAGTGTAGTGCAGACAAAGATTGATTCACAGTGAAAGAGTATTAGGCTTATATGATGATATATGACGTTATTATATAATACTGTATATAAATCATCAAAGATAGGTTAAATACAGTGTTCGAATATAAAGGGAGATGATAATACATCGTGTAGCATAGGCCTAGCTCTCAACGAATGTTGTCCTATAAATAATGAAATTTTGTAATAAAATGCTTCTGACGGGATTTGAACCTGCGACCTCTGACTGTCTAGGCGAGCGTCATAACAATTAGACCCGAAGGCTTCATGGTTGGACAGATTTAAATAACATCAGATACACGACATCGAATCCAAGATCCAATTTATGAACTATGTTGGCTGCCAGCACCTTGATCTCTGATGATTAGTGCCTACATCGTAATGCAATAATTACAAAATGATTATTATTGTTAATATTCGGTAAATATTTCAGCTGCTCCAATTTTCTTTCCTTTTCTTTCTTCTTCCTGTTCTTATTATTATATTGCATTTATTTTTATACTAATATTGTATTTATTATTATAATATAAATATAAATTAAAACTTTATATCTCTGGATAAAGCAGAAAACAAAGGAACGATTTAAGATTTCGACTATCACTGTAGTCTTGTTCACAATGACACACGATGGAAATTTCGTCATAGGGATTGTGACGACGATGCCCTTTTCAAATATTGTTTATTTTCATCCTTTAAATTGTTTATATTGTACTTATGATTATAAAGAAATAAATGTTTATTTGAATTTGAATTTGAATAAAGTTTTAATTTATATTTATAATAGTCAACCTGGATAGATAAATCTGCATCAGTCTATTATTATAATATTGTTAAACCTAGTCTAGGCCTAGGCTAGGATAGGGCCTAGAAGAACCTAGCATGGATTTCCCATAATAAATCGTGTGCATTGTATAACAAAAATCAATCTTCCTATGTTCAAAGCCGGAGTTAGATAGTCTCGTGCCAGGCCACTTTAGGTATGCTTTTCTGGAGCCGCCACTGCTTCCACAGTCAAGTTGGGTGCCATACCGATACACCACAAAAGCCTGTTGGTGTATCACTGATACAGTAAAATCTAATCACCCCCAAAGCCGATATACAGTACCGTAATCCCGCGATTAAGCGCCCGAGCGTTTAATTTTTTGCACTTTTTGAGGGGCGCTTATTCGAACGAGGCGCTTATGAAAATGGGACGCTTATGAAAACAGAATGGAAATCGGGGGGGACCCCCCCCCAAAAAAAATATATAAATAAATAAAAATAAACAAAATCTAGAATTACCTTTTCAGGACCCGTGACCTGAAATTTTGTTGTTACAATGGGAAAATTAGAAGTTGGGAAAGCACATTTGCCGCCATCTACTGTATGAATCAAAATTTTCCTGGGGGAGGACCCCTTTCTTTTTGGGGTTCATCGATTTATGGAAAAGAGAATATGTATGCAACTACTCAAATGTTTTTTTATATGTATGTATACACACATAATAGGCCTATTTACTGTAATAAAAATGAGGAAAAAAAATTTTTACGAGTGGAAAACCTTGAATTTTGAAGAAATTAAGTCATTAAAAGACACTTCAGAAGCCAGGAAAGCTCATTTCCCGCCATCTAGGAATAACAATTTTCCCGGGAGAGGATCCCCCCCCCCCTTTCTCTTTGGGGTTCATCGATTCATTAATCGTTTTCAAAAGGGGGTACCTCAACTTTTAATGACTTAAATGTCATTAAAAGACACCTCGGAAAAGCTCATTTTCTTTTTTGGAACTAAAGTATTAAAACAATAAGGCAACCTGGAAAACTGCAATAGAAATTATACTAAATAAATATCGTATATCATTTTTATGAATGGGTGGACTGGTTCGATTGAATATCAGTAATCATTGAGAAAAGGTTCGATTTGTTAAAACAATCAATGGAATAGACCTTTCTGGAGTGTTGATCAAAATTACCAATTGACCAATCAGAACAGGGCCCAAAGGGGTGGGGCTAAGCGGAAAGTTCCATTATATTAAACTTGTCTAATCTTTTAATCTTTTAATCCTCCAGTTTTTCCCATGAAAATATAAACCAACTCTAAAGGTAAGGAATAATAATAATGATAATAAATGTTATTAGAATTGTAAAAAATATACGGTACAGAAGGTTTTGATTTCATGAGAAAATTACTCAAAAGCAATTCTAAAGTTTAAACGAGATAAAATTGTGAATTAAACTTATGAGCTAAATTCCACTAGAAATGCTGTAATTGTGAAGCGTTTTCTGAAGAAGTGTGAACATTAAATCAGATGTGATAAACTCTGATCTCTGCTGCGATCGATATTATATATATTGACCGGTATTGATCGATATTATATCTGTTAGTTTATACTTTAGTCAAATTTACGCATTTAAAATCACCTCATTCATAACTACAGCTTACCAATTAGAATAATAATTTAATGATAATGATAATAATTTTTTATTAATATATTTTTTCATTTCATAATAATACTTATTTATTTATTTATTTCAAAAACCACATCCAACAGCAATTACTTGCCAATAACAGGATGTCATAGAATATTTACAAGCATATAAATATTTATAATACATAAAAGACATAGGCAAATTTATTTATTTTAAACAATCGTCCAACAGGAACCCTTTGTTCCAACTTACAGGCAAAAATTGCAAAAATAAACATCACAATATAATATCACAAGGCATAAAAACATTTTAAAAGCTAACATATAGATAGCAGAATATGAATTATATAACAGACATCATAAAGTACATTACATTGTAGAAAAATTTTAACAAAAAAAAACCTCAATATAATTTTCAATTCAACTTTACAAAAAAAAAGTAATATTGCGTCGGCGAATTTATGTTTCTATATGTGTTTTTGGAAATTAAATAAAAGAAAACAAAATAATGTTGATTATATTTTATGTTAGGCTATTATTATTAAAATGTTGTTAGGTTAAGTCCCGTATGTATCTGATGTTGTATATTCCTAAATTTAGTTAAGTACACCTTATGTAATTGTTGGTGTGCATATCACATACTATACGTAATGCAGACGTGAATTTATTTAAACTCAGTTATTCATATCGGTTTTTTTTTCAATTCTATTTTGGTATATTTTTGTGAACGCACCAGTTATTATTGAGTCTCACCGATATGAAAGTGTTCGAATAAAAACACAGGTGAAGCAGAGATCAACGTATATTAAGATAGACCTATTACACACACACACACATGATGTTATAAATCGATACCGAGAAGTTGCAGGTTCGATTCCTGGAAGAGACTATCTTTTATACAACTAAAATAAGGATCTTTTCGTTGATGAGCCATGCTTGATACGATTTTTACAATATGCTGCTATTTGAGCACTGTTATTATTTATCATACAATATATATAAATTTTAAACAGAGTAAAGAAGAGGAATCTGTATATGCAGACCTTAACCAACTGGGCCGTTGAGGTTTTCGTTGCAGTGGCGTATCTAGAAGTCTTGAATTGTAGGGG